CATTTACTGACTCTGTGATTCTAAAACTTGATGGTGGGTTAAGTGGGACATACACATACCGAGTTGTAAAGCTGCAGCACCCAAACTGTATAGTATTTGAAACCAATGGTTAATTAACAACACCTGCTTAAACAAGCAAAATCCCTGCTTTAGGTTTAGTGTTTCTGAAATAATTATCTTCAGGATGAGGTAGCTTTAGGATAAGATATTTGGGATGAGATATATTTTTTTAAAAAATATGTTTAGAAATGGGGCCAGAGAGATAGCAGGAGAGCACTTTCCTTGCACATTGCCTGCCCAGGCTCAGTACCTAGCATCCCACGTAGTCCCCCAAGCCTGCCAGGAGTAATTCCTGAGCACAAAGCCAGGATTAACCCCTGAGCACTGCCTGCATGGCCTCTTCGCCAAAAAACAAACAAGCAAATAAAAAAAAAATCCAAAATAATGCTTGGAAATGCTTCTCAGAGTGTCACAAAATCAGCTACAGAGACTTCTCATCATAGACATTGTTTAGACAGTACATGGCAATTTAGTAGAATCAAATAGTTTAAAACATAAACTTCTAAGTCTTTAAGTATAATTTTGTGTGAATAATGAGTTTTCCTCATAGGAGCCAAATTTTAATATTAAATTCTTTTTAGGGGGTTCTTTTTAAGAGCCCCTCCCAATTATTGATCTTCAGAGAACACCTGATTTTTCATTGTCACATAGATAGATAGATAGATAGATAGATAGATAGATAGATAGATAGATAGACAGACAGACAGACAGACAGACAGACAGATTGGGAAATCCTGAAAAGATTGGACCTGCTTTTACCAAACATCACTGGTTATTCTGCTGTCACTTTGTGTTTTGCAAAAGAATGAGTCTAAACAGAGTTAGTAGAAGTCATTATAATAATATTCTTTGAGGTGAAAATTATAAAGCCACATCCTAGCAAATGATTTGATATATTTCTCAAGCTGACATCTGGTATTTTCTAATATTAAAAACCCTGACTGGATACTTAAGAAAAATGTTTTTAGCTTCACATTTTTGTTTTTGAAAAGAAAAAGAACTATTTTAGTGACAAAGCCTACTTTTAGGTTCCTCATTTTATTAATTCTTGGAAATGCTCCATTGGAAAAACAATTCACTTGATCCATCTTGTCTATTCCTTTTGTATGTAAAGAAAACCTTTGACACACACCACCTCCGCATTCCTCCAGAGATGGTGAGTGAAGACATTTATACAGACTTGACATTGAAATATTTTTTAAAATATAAAGTGGTATTTGTAAAGTCTACAAATTTCAGTGTCAAATACTCCTTTGAGTTATTTGTTAATTCCTCTGCCTCTTCCCTCTTCCATTGTGGAGGGTCAGACACAATATAGAGCTGATCTTCTTTTATGGACACGACTGTAATCTAAATTTGGTCTATGCTTTTAATAGTTTCTCTGTTGCCCTCTCAGACACCACTAACAAATTCCTGAGGTCATGGGTGGATGTTTTCACTTGATCCTGAATGAGGTTAAGCAGCATGCTGTTCATTTTTTCCATGATAACCAACAAACCTGCTGCTGACATACTACAGGCCCTAACCTTCAGATGTCCAAAGCATTGCTTCCCATTTTCAATGATACCAAAATCACACTTTCGTTTTTATTCATTGATTTGGGACTCAGAATGCACAGGAAAACTTAAAGGTTTTGCTTTGATAGAGCAACCTTTCTGTTCTGATGACTGGGAGTGTGCATGTTAATGTAAGAGTCTCTGAAATCGTGCTTGATTTTAAAAATTGTCTGCTAACCCCCCAATTAAATATAGTGGCACTTCTATTGATCTGAACATTTTATATATACATTTTTCATTTTAAGGCACATAATTCTGAGAATTAAAGATATCTACCATAAGACACTCCTGAGAGAATAGTTAACACCCACAAAAAAGTCTTGTTGTGTATTTATTTGGATCTTTCTGTGTCCTTTAAAAGTCTTAATACAAAAAATTGTGGCAGCATTAGGTATGGGTTACCCAGCAAGTGATCAACTTCCAAGGAGATTTCCTCAGTTTTCTAAGTATTACCTGCGTCCAGACCAGGCTGTGGCCAAATTAATGGCATTTTCTCAAAGACCTACTCAAATGTCATAAAAACAGTTGTGTTTAAAATGACTTTGATTTAAAAAAGAACTTTATCTTTCTCCAAATAAAAACTGTCTCCAAAATAAAAGTGAGGGTAAAATGAGATTATAGATAAAGTAATGGCTTTGGACATGAAAGCTGAATAGCCACAGTTACAAGAATTACCCTATCAATAAGCTTTAGATATTTCTTACATAATCTGTAAAAGAAAATCACAGAAGTTATAATTTACATTGTATCCCTTCTCATTCGCCTTGGAAAATGTCTCCTAAAGCTTAGAACTACAATGAACTGAACCAGTATCAAATTCCTGATAACTATACCGGTTCTCGGCTAGAAAGTGAATCCCCACTGACCTAAAGTGATATTGTTCCACTTAAAGAATCAACCTACATTTAAGGGAAGACAAAAGGAACTGTTTCCCCAATTTTCACAGAAGAAATTTATATCAAGTGCTTAAGTCTCATATGCCTTATGTGGATAGGGGTATGAATCAGGGAGAAGATCCAGGTCTGGCACTTTCCTCATCCTGTGGATAAGCAATGGTGCGGCCAAAAGTCCTAAGGCTCTCACAGTTACTCTCTCAGGCCTATCTCCCACTCATTCCTGTATCTCCTCTTGTTTTCAACGCCAGTTTCTACGTCTTGGATAAAGTAAAAGCAACAGGTGGTATTTTATGAAAATCTTTTTAGTCCTCTTATCAAATTCAATCCTGATTTTGTTAACATTCAAACACACACACACACACACACATTTGAGCTGCCACAGAACACACTGTGTAACAAAGCTTTAGGGTCACACTGAAGCAGAAACTACCAACCTTTGGGTTTGAGCCACAAGCTTTCCTTTGCAGAACTACAAACAAAGCAGAGAAGCTCACTTGCAACAAAATCTGAGGTGGCTGTTGATAATATGCACACCTGATATTCAAATCCCTTCATGTTTCAGAGGAATTAATTTTTTGTCTGGTACATATTTATTTTTTTAAAGAAGCCAATTTATTTTATTTTCTTTTTTGGGTCACACCCAGCGATGCTCAGGGGTTACTCCTGGCAGTGCTTGGGGGACCATATGGGATGCCGGGGATCGAACCCGGGTTGGCCGCGTGCAAGGCAAACGCCCTATCCACTGTGCTATCGCTCCAGCCCCACATATTTTGTTTAGAGGATGAAAGAAATTTGCTCCTTGAGCAAATTTACCCATTCTGTTTTCTAACCAGGGTCTTTTCTACTGAGGCATGTACCTAAAAAATTCCCTCAGGCAACATCATTGCCAAAGATGAACAAGATTTGATGAGTTAAACTATAAAATGAGCTATTTAAGAATATACTATGTACTGTACATACACAGAATCTGATTGTTTTCTTGAAATAAAAGTGTATGAACTTATTGAAAAAGACTTACAGAAACGTCCTGCATTCTTTTATGTGCATATAAAATACAAAGAGAAAGTTGCTTAACGGGACAGAATATTTTCTGAGCATATGCTGCAAACAACATGAGATTCCACCTCCAGTTATTGACAAGAGAACTGAAGATGTCAGAGTAGAATAATGTGATGAAATTTAAATACTGAATGGAGAAGCAAGAATTTAAAACTACATCCCACAAGGTGAACAATTATATTGTATATTCAGTGCAACAATTTGAACTGTTTTAAGATGTAATTAAAATACAGATTTTTTTTAAGGAAAACTGCTGAGTTGAGTTGGTATGAAAAATACACAAATCAAGGTCCAGACACTGCAAAATTATGATTTTCTGACTAGCAACCAACTTGTAAACACTGTATCTTAACATTCTTTGTAAAGTTAAATTTGCTATGATATGTGAAAACTTGAGTTTTCTCATATTTGTCACATGGATTTTTAATCAGAGAAAATTAACATCATATATAGCTCATGGAAAAAGTCCAGAAATACAGGCAGACTTAATGAGGGTTAACAGATGTGGGCAAAGGAAGAAAAAAAATATAAAACTGGACCAGTGCACCACCTAGTGATGAAACACTTGCTTTACAATAACAATTTCATTTTGCAAAATTCTTGAGCCTGAATATTTGTAAAACTCAAGAAAAATATGATTATTAAGAGTGGAAATCAGAAGAAGAAAAACAGGTATACTATGATAGGATACAGTATTCTTAAAGATTCCATTAGAATTAGAATTCAGATTCTACTCCCTAAAGATGTATCAAGTTCTACTTATTCTTCTCTCTGTGCTCCAAAACTTCAGGTACTATTTTATCAATTGACAAGGGTTTCAAGTTCAAAACATACATGAGGCAAGGTGTAAGTCTGATGTATCTGACAAGTCTGACCAGGACTCATAAAACTCAGTCTAAGAACTGAGCATCTTTGTTGTAGAACATCTTGTCCTTCAGTCTTGTGTCCCATTAAGATAAAATACTCAAGGAGAGCTTACACATTGCAAAGACAAGCTATGCCAAAAGCCAAAATATTTTTAATCTCAAGAACTTTCAGGGCTTGGTATCATGCAGGAAATGCATCTCATAATTCCTGTTATGTTAAAAAAAAAGTTACCCAGAAAACAAATCATGGCATGAAGTAAAAGTTTACTTCCTTTATCATTACACTATTTTTTAAAAGTTATAGTACTTTTTAGGGTAGTCATTTATTGCTGTGAGAGCAAGCGTTTTAAGAACTCTTAGTAGCAGATACTTATGTGGAACAGCATTGGTCTTAGGAAAAAATAAAAACTCAAGGCAACTCTGTCTTTTGCACACCTCATACCTCCAAAATACATAAGAAAAACTGGCTCAAAAAAAGTGACAAAAAGAGTAAAAGAAAACATTTGTGTCCACCGACAATATATGAGTTGAAAAGATGCCATCAAGAAACAAAACCCCCACAAAGCTTTTAAAGACAGGTTTATTTATATATAAGTGCATGAAATTAAATACAGAAACTTTATTAAAATATCGTATATTACAAATTTTAATCTAATAAATTCTGTGTAATGAGATTTAAGTGCTGGGTTCTTTTTTAACAATTGTGTTTGTGTATCAGTAAAGAGTTCACCCTGTATATTACAAAGAGGAGAGACACACATGGACCTCAGAAATGGTCCTGTGACTAGACAGTAGATGGTATTAATTGTGCATCTTTTCCTTAAAGCAACGATGTGAAACCAGATCCTGTTTTGGTAGAACAAGTTTCTATAATCAAAAATAACTTGCACTATTTATTGCTGCCCTTTGACTAAAAGGAGTGAAGATAATTTAAAATAAAGAGCAACATTTCTAAGAGTAACCCGATGCTAATCACATTAAATTAAAATTCACTGCAAAATTTGTGTTCTCCGGGAAATTATGCTATATACACAATAATATTTGTACATGAGTTAGGAAATAAAAAATTGCTTATATAAAATTAAAAATCAATAGTATACAATATTTACATATTGTTAGGTATTATACATAAACATAAATAATCCTTCAAAATTAAACTGTATTATGTAAACATGCAGTACACATACTCATACAGTGTAGTTTACAGTCTTAACAAAGGGGGGAAAACTGTTCACATAATGCAGGGTACTTCATCATTTATGCCTTTGTTTTTGTGCGTTATTCCTTCAACATTTATTCTTCCTGTCTTTAAGCTTCACAGTACATTATTCCTAAAGTAAAAATAATCCCTGATGGTAAACATAGTCCTAAATGTTAAATAAAGTGTCTGCCTTGTACTACAATATAAAACTTATGCTGCTCACACTAGAATTTATAGATTACAAAAAACTAAACTTGAAAATCCCACATGTAATTGTCTTGACTAAAATATGTCACATTTTATACCTGTTTGGAAAAGGAAAAAAATACACAAGAAATCATGAAAATATATTGAAAGTTGTTATCTGTCATAGTCAGGTGAAATTATAGATTTTTTTATTAGACCATTAATTCCTTTGCACCATTCCTAAACTCTAATTTTCCAATCATGAATCTTGCTAAATTCACTTTGCAAAAGTATCTTAAAACTTCCAAGGCACTAAGGCATCATTTAGCTTTTAAAAACTGTACTGTGGTTTACTAAATGATTCGTCAGTGGTCTAAGGGTTAATACAATTTGAAAGTTAGTCCTTTTTATACCAATCAGGTAAACTCTATTTTGGTATTTAAGTAAAGGCATTTTAGTAAATTTAAGATAAGTTCATTTCCCTCATTCTTGAATGAGGAGTTAATACTTTATGGTAGAATCTTATGAATTTTACCCAAGTTATATGAGGAAAACAATACTGGGGAATTTCATATTATTCATTCAAATGTATTAAACTCACCTCTGCTGTGTGCGTGCGTGCGTGCGTGCGTGCGTGTGTGTTGGGAAGAGGGCCAAAATTTTAGGAAATTCTTCCATTGTGAATTCTTCTGATATCACAAATGTCAACATTTACAATATCAATTCATTCATCCAGTATTGAAAGCAAGTTTTTAAAAAATTATTCAAACAAGTGCTTCCTTTGAAGAAAACTAAAATGTTACTTCCTAAAGACATTTAGTGATGTCACATATTTTAATTTAAAGCAAACATTTTGTTATTAGTAGCACTTTCAACAATTATCATTTATACAGGGCTCTGAAAAAAAGTGATTTTTTAAAAAATTACCAATATATAGAATTTAAAAGAGGAAAAAGGTATAGCTGTGTTTATTATGCACTGTAGTTCCTCTCCATATATATTTATGATACACTACTTTCCAGTTTCAGACACATAACTAAATACATTTCCCCAAAAAATGTATAATCAGGTTATTACCCATCAAGGGGAGATATATGTGTTATATCTAATCTAAAAATTATGTGAGATTCATGCTTTCTTGATTTACCTATAGCATTTATTTTTAATAACATTACAGCTGCATAACCACTAGGTGTTAAGAACATCTCTTCTAAACCAACATTTCTAATTCTATCAACAATCTGTACATGTTTAAACCATAACAACATGACATTTATATGGAAGGCAGTTGGAGACTTTTAAGAAACTGAATTAGTTCTTAAAATCAAGAATGGGATGAAATGTTAGTTCAACAAAGATGACCAACAAAGTTCATAGTCAGAAATTTGATTTCCCCAAATTTAATAAAATATCGATACATCTCCACATTTACTGAAAATACTTTATATAAAATGCATTATTTTCCAATTTCAGTTACATTTTTAGTTAATTCAGCAATCTCCACAAAAACTTTTGTTTTTTACTTTTGTGTGTTACCCCTCCAACTTTTCTTCCTGTTTTTAAACTTCCTTCTGCTACAAAATACAGCCATTTATTTTTTCTTATTTAGGGATCAGAGGATAGCTCAACAGGCTGAAGCACATGCTTTACATGCAAGAAACCTGGGTATAATCCTAGGAGTAGCCCCTAAACACCACCAGGTGTGGTCCCAAACAAAACAAAACAAAAAGTGAAAACTTTTATTGAAACTGAAGTTAAAATAACTTGAGACAATTTGATATCATCAGTTCTAAGCACTGAGATTCTCATCTCTGATTATTAAAATAGCAGTTTCCCAGCTATCTATCAAGTGCTGCCAGTCTTTTTCTGCAAGTTAATTTTACTAAAATTTCTTAATTATTTCCCACATTTCTCATATCTTAAAAACAAATAATGGTTCTGCAGAGATTCTGATGAAGACTTTCTGAGGGAAAAGAGTGCAGTACCAAGAGGAAAATAGTTGAAAATATTTCCAAAAATACCCTTTGACATCTATACTTCTGCAATTATAGAATCGGTATGAATTTAAAATACGAATTTAAAAATTTAAAAATTCTTTTTAAATTAAAAACAAAAAACAATACTGAACAACTACTAATTAACCACCTTCCATCCACAGAAGCAAGGAACTGGGAGACACTATGGCCTCATATTTTTCTCCTATCAAATTGGGATTATACTTCAAAGCCAAAATACCCAAGGGGAGAAAGAGAGGTAAATATGCAGAGAAGATGGCGTTTTCATCTCTAAAACCTTATTAGGTGACATAGCAGAAATTTAATGGGCATCAGCTTAATGAGGCCAAAGAAAGCAAAACAGGGGTAAAGAAACAAATACAGTTTCACCTACCATTTTTCTATTTTAACCAGTGGTCAACACAATCCCGTCCTGCTTTTCCTGCTCTTATCCACCATCACCAGCTCCCACAAACACTCTTTGACAAATACACGCTGGTTTTAAAAAGAAAGAGGTGGAGAAAATTATAAAGGAAAATATAACGGAAACTAAATTACAATACAAATTCTTTAGTTTCCTTCTTAATATTTGGAAAATTAAATGAAAAGCAAATATATTTTTTAAAATCATGTATTCAATTCTAACGCCTGTATTGATATAGAAAAGCAAAATTTAGAAAATCCGAATGCCTACCCATTAATCACTTACTGTCAAGATATACTGCCTATACTGCCTTTTCCATTCCTAAAAAAAAAAAAAAAAAAGGGGGGGTGGGTGGGTGGGCTGGAGCAATAGCTCAGTGGATAGGGCGTTTACCTTGCACGTGGCCAACCTGGGTTCGATTCCCAGCATCCCATATGGTCCCCCGAGCACTGCCAGGAGTAATTCCTGAGTGCATGAGCCAGGAGTAATGCCTGTGCATAGCCGGGTGTGGCCCCAAAAAGAAAAAAAAAATGTGGACAAGTTAAAAGGTCTGATATATGTATTTCAGAGCAATATAGAAGTACCATTTGGTGTAAAATTTGGAAAGAAGAAAGAAGAATCTGGGAGAGGAAAAGGACTTGAACTTTCAACTAGAAACAAAATATTATTACAAACTTCTTATTTAAAACCATTTTGCTAGCTCTTGGGGACTTTGTGAGCAACAAACAGTTCAACCTAGCCACCTTTGTACTTAGTACACAAAGTACTTGATACAACACTTTATAATAGCAGATTCATCCAAAATATTTGTATATTTTGGATGCAAAACTAAATTAGTTGGAGCATATTAACTTAGTGGCCCCAACCACTCACTCATCTTAGAGGTTGTCTCCTCACCTTAACATTCTTTACTTTGAAACTGCCCAACTTTATATCACAAATACATGATATAAAAAACAACTTGTTTCTTTATTTTCCACTTGAAGTATTTAAAACCCTTGCACATCGGTTTGTAAAAATATATACTGCAAATACTTAGAAAGTACATTGGGTAACAAACTATAACACTGTTTGGAAGACCTAACAAAAGAATGATAAGTTACAAGTACTGAATAAGATACATAACTTCCTCAGAGGACTTTATTCGAGGCAATCAATGAAATCATCCACATCCACTTGGAAGACAACTTATACCTCCTACATTTAAAATGTTTTAAGCACTTTTTATAGCTTTTACATGAGGTCCTCTAACTAGGACCTAAGAAAATTTCCAATTAGTATCTTAAGTAACAATTAGTTTGAGCATAGCAATTTATTCCTTGGGAACTGATTTTATTATCAGCAGTACCTTAGCAAATATTTTTAAATAAAGGAGTATTAACTGTAGAGGATACCACCCTTTTTGCACTTATCACAAAGAAACTTCACTGCAAAATCACATAGAAATTTTAAGAAGGTGTGACCCAAATATATCGATAACAACTTCTATCATATCATAGATTTCTAGCTCTATTAAACCAAGAAAAAATTCCCCAAATAAAAAAATCTCAAATATTCTTGACTATTTAAAAAAAACATTAAATCGAACAAATTTATCAAATTTCCCACTAGAACATTAAAGTGTTCACTGAACAATAGCTTTCCAATTATACTATTTATATAGCAGCTTTATACATATGGATGTATATAATGATATGTACATATCATTAAACATTTCTTCACGTATATGGAAGTATATGATATATATATAGTTAAACATTTCTTAGGAAAATCACTAACTTAAAAAAATAGCATCAAAACAGCTATATGTCAAATTAATAAGTTCACTATTCAACTGCATTTCAAGATATCAATACTGACAGTAAATAAAACACCAACGGAAATAACTACAAACAGAAAAAAAAACCCGCAATCAAGAACTCCCCCAAATGCTAAAAATGTCCACACACACAAAAACACACACACACTCTCTCTCTCTCTCTTCACAATGTACAACAATTCGATAATGGACACTCTACAAACTATTAATCATCCAATTATACTTTCATTCTAGAGTAAAAACAAGAGTATAAATCTCTTTGGTCCATACATTCACACATTACTTTATAGTTAATTCTATATTCTGAACCAAACACTCCAATTACCCTAACACAACAGTTTCTTAAATCATAAAATAACCATATATTAAAATAAACATTCATTTCGTGAATCTCAAATAATTTTCACATGCTAATGATAATTCCTTTCAAAGAATACGAACACTTTAAAATTACTGATAGAATAGTCAAAATAAAGGAAGAATATAACCCAAGTCTAAAAGAGAAAGATAAATCAAATTAGCTTGGAAAACTAATGCCTAAATTTAATTTGGGAAAAAATTAGGCATATAACAAAGATATAAAAATAATCTCAGGCCTGTGCATAATAAAAAGGATAATTTTCAAATTTACTTTAAATATTTCAAAGAGGAAATAGTTACTTATCTTACTGAACAAATTTTCAAGCAACAGGATTAGTAAACTCCAAAAACTGTCTTTACCCTCCCCACTCTTCACTGTTAAGGTAGTTAACATATTCTGATTTTTGGTGGAGAAAAAAAATGACAAGGGTAACAATGATATTAAATCTGAATGGAACCTAATAGAAACCTGCTTTTACCAAAAATGAAGTTATAAAATAGCAAGCTCAAGTCACAGATCAATATTTTGTATTGTCCTTAACTCATATTCTTTGCAGTGTCTCTTCTATTGATTTATCACATATATAACTATCAGATATTTAGAAATCTCAGTAGGAGACAAATTCAACGAGGTTCTGCTTCCTTCACTTTCTATACTTTTTAAAATTACATATTGCCGAAACCTCTTATACTTAGAACTTTTTTCATTTATAAGAAATGTCATTACAAATTCTAATAAATTAAATAGCATCGAGAGCTGAACAAATTGAAATGACTCATTCAAATATGTTTAGTACTGTATTGATATGCTCAGATTGCCAAATTAAAAAATTTACAATTTCTCCCAATTTTTTACTCAGCAAAATTACATTACCATACGTCCAAAGTAAGAGGGTTTATAACATTGCTATATGACTTGCTACTTATATACAAATGAGGCTTGTTGTTTTCACAGCCTAATTTAGGCCACTCCTGAAATATAGTTAATACTCCAGAAATGAAAGAATGTTTCTATTTTGTCAAAAACCAAGCTATATGCAACAAGTAGTATAGTCCCACTGAGATACTACTTAAAAATGTTTTCTCCATGAGACACACGGCAAAAACCTTCTTTAGGAGGGTCAAAGAATGCAACATGCATTTCAGACTTCTTTTCTTACAAAATGTATAAGAAATTTTCAAATTATATTTTTATGACACACAAACTACAATGAGTGTGACCCATAAAATTTTTTAATTCTTATCAATTAAATATGTAAGAGGGACGCTATCAAAAGAGTGTTATTTGAGTGAGTGAAAAGGATGCACCCTATAGGTCTACTTTGAGTCTTTAAAAGAGTTCAGCTAGTTTTTGATTAAGTATTATTTCAGCATAAATTAAAACAACGCCTAAAGCCCTAAATCCCATAAATGCTCACAATAAACTCAAATAATTTATCTCACATTAAATGATTCAGCATTCAGCACTCATGTGGAATTTAGCATTACAAAACAAAATGCTCACTACATTACCTGAATTTGTGTCAAATATGTTCACAGCACTCATCTAGCATCTACACTTGCAAATTGTCACATGATAAATGTTTTTTTTTTTTAAACAAAACAAAACAAAACAAGTGTTTGGCACATATATCGATTCCTCAAAACGTCCCTCTAACTTGAACACAATACTGTTAAAAATGATCATTCAACACCAAAGTGAGTCTGATGGACAGCTAAACAAGGTGCTCTTTTTCTTGTCGCGTCACAGAACGTAATGCGCCTTGTCTGGGACGGAGGCACGTAAGGTGCAGTGCGGTAGTGCAATCACTTGAACACCAGAGGGCGATCTTTCCACAGAGCTCAGAGCCCACGGTCCGGCCGCTTCCACATTCTCCCACCCTCTCATTCTCGCTCGCTGGCAATGCTGTTCGGAGAATCTGTACGGGTTTCCTCGTGGCAAGTAAACCATTTCCACAGAAGCCTCAAAGTGTAGCAAGGATCCTTGAAAAGGAGATGATTAATGTCAGTACAGTCTGTCCAACTCCCCACACCAGAGCTTCTAACGGGGCCATGTTCTTCCCGGCTACTCTGTAAATGCCTGCGACTGCTGCACCTAGGTCGGAAAGAGGGGGAGAAACAAAATAAAACGTTCCATTACTTCGTAAGATCTGAAGTGGCTGTAATTTCAGAACTCCTTTTATCAACACAGAGCAAGTCATTCATTTTATAAATTTCTATGCGTTTCCATGTGATTAGGGAAGTTGCACATTTCAAAACCATGCTTAATTAAAAAATTAAGCATTTCGATTTCACTTCAAAACACACACTCAACACAAGCTGCTTAACTAACACATGTTCATCAATAATGAGCAATTTAGTGATCTCTCACTTGGACACTGAATTGGCCAGACCATATTAGCATTTTCATTTAAAAGCACAACATCTTGATAATTATATATATCAAGAAAACTACACAATTTAATATAATTTGAAAATGATAAATGAAACTTCAACATTAAAAGACTACCAGATATTAGCAGAAAAATCTTTTAAAAGAATAACTTATCTCATAATCTACTATATAAAATAGTTTATAAATTACATATACAAGAGGACAGTGCTACAAGAGTAAAATTATTTACAGACTGATATCTTCACATACCTAAATGAAAGAGAAATCTGACATCTGCTTTTGGAAACATTATTTAGATTATGCAATCGGAATAGCAGAGCCCATATGATTTGATACTTCATTTGATTAAGAATACAAACATATAAAACATATGCATGACTTAATATCTAAGTGGCTGATCTTTAAATTAAATTCAGGAATCACAAATAAGAGAATATTTAAATTATAGCACGCCATGTGACAGATCAGTAGGTCGTATAACTGAGTATGATGCGCCCCCCTGCTGTGCTCGGGAGCCCAGAGGCCACATACCTGCTATTTTCAGCCAATCGGGCCTTTCAGTTGATCTAAGAGACCAAGGATGCAGTGCCACTTGGTTCTTGAGGTGATGAAGGTAACCTGGGCCACTGCTCCTGGTGCTGGAGGGTTTGCACCGGCACTTCCCATAAAGCTCGGGGTCTCTCCAGGGCTATACCTGGTGGTGCTACAGGTTGGTGCCTACAAGGCATGTGCTCTAACTCCTGTACTATCTCCCAGCCCCTGAAACAATTTCTATGGGTACTTGTGGGGGGCGGGGAGGACGGAGCCTGTCCATACATGCTACAATGGCAAACAATGTAGTAGAGAGAGAAATGAAACAAGGGAATGGGAGGGAACAAATGATGATGATTCCTTGGTCCTGCATTACAGAACCAAGAGTTTCAAGAAAGGGAGCAGTGGAGAGGGGAGAGGGGACCCCACGGCCCAGGTGCAAGTGGAGGGGCACCAACACTGGCGGAAGGCGTGGAGCTGGAAGATTCTCTTTGAAACTCTTATTAGCAATAGTAATTTAAGTCACAGTGGCTAAAGAAAAAACACTTTTAAAATGATGTTTTTTTGAGACATAAATCTATTCATAAAACTAGCTCAGAATTCATCTTTTTTAAATAGTTCACTTAAAATCTCAGGGAAAATTATGATTCCTCTTTAAGATATACATAGGAAAAGCATAGTTGTAAGAAGAAAATCTAAATGTTTATTTAATACAGACTATGTAGCTTCACTCCTAGCAGTACGTGGGGGACAGTAAGTGGTGACAAGGATTTAACCCCTGTATTATCTCTCCAACCTAGAACTTTACAAATACTATTTTGTTTTAAAACTACATCTTTCCTGGAAATGGTTCAATCCCCGACGCCACAAGTCCCCAGAGCATCTGGGAGGTGCAGATTTTGAGTTCCCCCTGGGCACTGCTGGGGTGGTCCAGGTAATTCCTGACATCACAGGGCCTGCGCAACACTGCATCCTCAGGCCTTAGCACTGAACTGCTGGTCCACTTGGCTGAGAATTGCCAGTAGGGGGTCCCTGGCACTCTGAGCAGAGCACAGAAGGTTCCTACTCCCAACACAATACCGTTTCTGAGTATTATTACCTAATTTCAAGATGAAAAATTGGAGTTTCAGAGATACGGCAAGGAAGTACAAGAAGTGCAAAAGCTAGAATTTCAGTCCAGGTTTGTCTGGCTATAAATCTCAGTATCATGCTATTGTTTCATATTTATAAGAAGTCAAAATGAAAACAAGGAATTCAGAAAATAATTATCATCAGAAATTATAGTAAAATAAATCTGAAAATTTTTTATTTACAGTGCATGTCCTCAACTATCTTCATTTTTAAAAGCCACAATCTGACTTCTTTTTTTGTCACAGGATTAACTTTTTAAAAGGACGCAAGAAATATAAAGTTAAAGCAATTACAATCTTAGGCTATCAGGAAAATGGAAAGCAATCTGTTGATTCAAATGTCTCATGCTTATACAAAATTAAGTGCATGGGTTTTGGAGTTACACTCAGGGATTAAATTTCAAACTCTACTACCTAATAGTTGTGTGAGAATGAGAAATTGGTAGACCTGTGTCTTACCTCACACAACTGTGTCTTACCTCACATAACTGGAGGCCAGAGTGAATGGAAATGGAAATGAATATTTGAAAGATTCTTTGGAATATATTATAAGGACCAGTTACTATTCTAAGTTTGATTAGTTGTTGCCGCAGTAGTAAAGATACTTCCAATTCATAATTTCAAATTCAATACATGTTGTTGAAGTAACAGGTAATCATTTAGAAGAAAGAAATCTAGGTCTCTACTTCACAAGTAAATATCGGATGGGCTAAAGAAAGACTAAGGAACAAAATAATAAACTTCAAAATATATTATTTTAAGAAAAGAGGACTGTCCAAGAACTTTAAAGAGAGAAATCCACAAAGACTTGTTTATATAAAGGATAAAGAAAATAATTTTCACATGCAGCAAACTAAAGATTACTGTCTATACAGAAAACATGCATAAACATGTATAACAAAATATAATAATCAAAATAGCATATTTTAATAAAAAAATCCATACACTTCAAAGTTCATCAATCAGGACTACATATAATTTCAAAAGATACATGTCCAAAAAAATAGTCCTACAAGAACATACACACAGAAAGAACGTAATATCTTAAGATAATATATTTAGCAGCATTCTTTTTTTTTCTTAAATTTTTATTAGTGAGACACCATGAGGTACAGTTGTAGACTTACAAATTTTTGTGCTTGGGTTTCAGTTATACAATGATCGAATACCCATCCTTCCACCAGTGCCCATTCTCCACCACCACCAGTCCCAGTCCCAATCCCTCCCTCCCCCCATCCCCCATCCCACCCTACCTCTGTGGCAGGGCATTCCCTTTTGTTATCTTTCTCCTTTTGAGTGCTGTGGTTTGCAAACCACAGAAATTGAGTGGCAATCTTGTTTGGTCTATAGTCTACCCTCATCACACATTTCCCATCCTGAGAGGAACCTCCCAACACCCTTTATTTGGTGCTCCCTTGTCTATCTGAGCTGCCTTTTCCCCTAGCGTGTGCGGCTGTCCTCAAAGCCATGGAGTAATCCTCCTGGTACTTATCTCGGCTATTCTTTTGTGTTAGTCTCTTATTTTGTTACTTTATGTTTCCCAGATGAATACAATCTTTCTATGTCTGTCCCTTTCTTTCTGACTCATTTTGCTTAGCACTATACTTTCCATGTAGTACCACTTGTATATGAATCTCATGACTTCATCATCTTTTCTAACAGAGCAGCTTTCAGATTTGGGGGTTTAAAGATTTTTTTTGCTTAACATAAAGCATGAGAAAAATTAGTGTTTGGGGTATCTCCTATAAGGAATTTAACTGGAGGCAAGAGCTATGGAAAAACATCCTGAGACAAAGTCAAAAGGGAATAAGTAAAGAAATAGAAGAGTGTGTACTAAAAACATATCTACTTTACTTTAAGGTAAAGGTAAAGGCCCTCCCATTGATCGTGTAAAGGTAAAGGCCCTCCCATTGATCGTCGATTTGCTCGAGCGGGCCCAGTAACGTCTCCATTGGAGACTTTGTTGTTACTGTGTCTGGCATATCGAATACGTCACGGGGAGCTTGCCAGGCTCTGCCGTGCGGGCGAGATACTCTCGGTAGCTTGCCAGGCTCTCCGAGAGGGGCGGAGGAATCGAACTCGGGTCGGCCATGTTGGCCGCTTGTAAGGCGAACGCCCTACCCGCTGTGCTATCACTCCAGCCCCACTTAACTTTAATCTCGTCCAAATAAGTTGATAAGATTATTTTATTTAAATTTTATTCAGTATTTAACTACTGAATAAGAGATAAAATGGATGAATAAAATGGGTTTAATTTTGGAAGACCCCATGTTCTAAGGAAAAATGAAACTGCTAAATGACTTTGTTTTTCTTAGAATCTTTAAAAAAATCTTTAAGTAGCCTATAACGATGAGATTAAAAGCTAAAACAAAAAACAAAAAAACCCCATGAAACTCCAGAATTTTCCACAAGTTAACATTTAATCCAGCCCATAACATTTAATGGGCTGGAGCGATAGCACAGCGGGTAGGGCGTTCGCCTTACAAGCGGCCAACATGGCCGACCCGAGTTCGATTCCTCCGCCCCTCTCGGAGAGCCCGGCAAGCTACCGAGAGTATTCGATATGCCAGACACAGTAACAACAAAGTCTCCAATGGAGACGTTACTGGGCCCGCTCGAGCAAATCGACGATCAACGGGAGGGCCTTTACTTTACTTTACTAACATTTAATACATGTTATCCAGAAAAGAACACCAATTATCATTTTTCTCCCTCAGAAGTTACATTAGTTACATAAGGAAGAATATGCAGTCATCAGTTAGGAATCAAACTTCCCTCCAAATCAGATTTATAAAAGTTCCTATTACTTTATATCATTTCACAATCTAGAAGAAATAGTCAGAAAAGACTTCCAAAGAAAACTATTTTGTACAGTTTTTAAATGATTCTGAAACACTATTTTAAACTAATTTTTTTAAAAAGGGGGTTTGGGGCCAGACTCTCTGGTGCTCAGGGATTACTCTTGGCTCTGCACTCAGGATTTCTTGTAGGAGTGCTCCAGGGAGGAACATATGGGTATGGAGGATTCAATCCAGGTTA